AGATGTACTTGAAGCACAAATGAACACTCAAGAGCAATAAAACTCCATGCTTATAGGAAAGGGAAATGGTAAAATTATCCTAGAAAAACAAATAGAAGAAAAGTGTCAATCAATAATAGAAATAGGTTGCTTTATAGGCAGAGAAGGAGCTAGAGTCATCTGATTGGGTGAAACAGGGTTGTAGTTGGCTACAGTGGTCAAATGCAAAACAGTGATGTTGAATTGACAATTTCATCCGCTCTTTGTTCCTCAAATGAAGAAGTCTTCTGTAGCTAGCTGAACTATCTCTACAACTTTTGCGCACGCGCACACGCGCGCGCACACGTGTGTGTGTGTGTGTGTGTGTGTGTGTGTGTGTGTGTCCATGAATTTATCTACTGGGATTTCCCTTTCCTCTTTTTTTAATAACTGACTTTTTAATTTAGCATCTGTTCCTCCATGTCCAAACAGAAGCCCCTTCCAAAGTGTGTGTCTCTATTCTGGGACCATCATCCCTTTGTTTTCTTAGCCTACTTGCTTCCCCAGGTCACAACACTGCATTGGGTCACAAAGGGAGAGCAGTTCTGGGACCCTGCTGCTTTCCTAGTGTGACATTCTCCTTCCTGAATGTTCAGTCTAAACTTCTATTCAATAGGATATCTGGGCCAAAGACTCTCTCTCCTAGTTCTTCACTCCCATCCTTTCTCTTCTTCCACATTCAACCAGTTTGTGTTTCCTGTGGCTTTCTTATGCTCAAGATTTGGATAATCTTCATCATTGTCGAGATTTGGGTGGAGTGGCTGATTTTGGCTTTGAGTAGCTGTTGGAGCCACACAAATTTTTTCTTCTAGGTTTTCTACAGCTCTGCTGTTAGACAGGTTCTCAACAGACCCAAGGGTGCCTCTGAGGAAGTTTCCTGCTTGCCCAAGCATGTAGCATTCAATTACACTCATGCTCATATAAGTCCTTCGGCTTTGTGGATAATCAACACCATGATACTATTTCTTTAAATAAAGTAGAGCCAATGAGTCTGTATTTGCTGTTTACAGTAACTACAAGATACAAGACAAAACAGCAATTGTATTTTCAAGTTTTACCTTTCATATTCAGTAGATATTCCTGAAACCAGTTGAAACAACAAGTGACCTTGCAGAATCTGATTTCCCAACCACACCTGGTACAATCACAGGAACTACTGCCAGAAGTCATAAAATACTAGCACACAAACCATTTTCCCCAGCAGTTGGGATTAGAATAATAGCATATTTGGGTGTTTGTTTTTTTTAAAGACCTCAAAACCTTTCCACATGGATGGTCCCATTTTATCCATGAAGATGATTTGGGCCCCTCAGAAATGTGGGCAATCTTAATTAGTCTCACAAATGGCATCTTCATGAAGTGTCTGTTCAATGCATTAAAGCAGCTTTCACTGAGGAATCATAAATGAAGTCACCGCAGCACATTGTAAGCGGCGTATGCTTTTAGGACTGGGGCATTGCCTAGTCACAATGGAGATGGATACAGTCATTCTGCTGGTGCTGCCCAGTATGAGTCTCTCTAATCAAATACTTTGTTTAAATGCAGCTGTCCTCCTATCTCGCCTTGAGCAACAGGAACCAACTTCCAATAACCCCACTCACTCTTGGTCGTGACGAGGTCTGGCTCGTAAACCCAGACTGTCAAGTAAGGTGGCTGCTGGGAGCCTGGCTGGGTTTTGCCAGGATTAGTTTTCACCAGGTTATCTGCTAAATATATCAGTGGCTATTCTGCCCCATTTTCCTTGGGTTAGAAGCTGGTGTTTCTATAAATAAATAAATACATAAAGAGCCCGGAGGATTAAGCACGCTGTCACAGACGGCAGGAGAAAGCTTTCTGTGTGTCTAGTCCCTCAAGAGGCCCTCTTCATTTCACCCCAGGAATGCTGTCAAACAGAACGTGGCTCAATACTGGCATCCTGTGGCCAGAGGAATTCATCAAATCTCTGAACCTCTCCCATCCTTGGCCTCAGCACATCCCTTGGCTGTCTGGGCTGAGCAGCCTTACAGCGTTTTCTGAGAGCTGTCAGGTTGCCTCATGTTTTTTATGGAAGAACTCTCAGTGAGATGTGTTCTGATCTACTGACATTTCACAGGGCCAATGGGTTTGTGTGTATTGGAGTAAAAAGAAATGATAGTACAGAGGCTAAAGAATGTTAGCCACCAAGGCAATCAGATCTGTAATCACTGAACTAACTGCCCCAAGGAGAGGCTCTCTGGCCTCCAAGTTCACACAGTTTGTCTCTGACAAGGAGGTAGCTGGGGGAGAGGTGATGTTTTGGATCAAGACTCCGCTGTTTTGTGTGTCTGTGTGTGAGTGTGCTGTTTTGGCCAAAGGCTAGGAAAACACTGGCTATTGCAGCAATAAATACTATGAATTATTATTTTACTTTATTACAAGAATGCTGCCTAAAAGTAAAATCAACAAAATTGAGGAAAGACTTTCAAGACAGCTGTAAAGATAAAGGGTGGCAATGATCGCGGTTTAAAAGGCAGAATTGTCATGTTCTTTGGTGAGGCTTAATGGCATTTTTGGGAACCAAATAATCATTATGGGGCTACTACATTGCTGCTGCTTTCACAAATGCCTAACACTAAATCTGGAGTTCTTGGAGATGATCAAAACATCATTAGAGACAGAAAAACAACCCCAAACTTTAAAATTACATGAGCAGGAAAACACATCAAAGAAAGATGAAGCATGGAACATAGCAATAGGCATGCACTCACAAAAATGTGGTATAAAGTACGCACATGTTAGCAAAACGGAAGAAGTATTATAGTAGGCTGGCTACAAACAAGAGAAACAAAATGCCTACTATGTGGGAGCAAGCAAGCAAGGAATTTGCTCCTTCACAATGCTCCCTTCTCAATGTGGCCCAACCCTAGGGCTGCCAGCTCTGTCATCCTGTATTCTCTTGGTTTTAACTGTGCTCAAGGGTTTTAACTGTCTCTGGCCAGGATCTGAGATCTCATGGTGATGAGCATTAATCTGTCCTGAACAATCCTAATAGTAAATAGTGTTTACCAAGTCTTTTGTTTTTGTTTTTCAAAATCATATTGCCTACAAGTGGAAAAACATAACTAAAACCATTCTACAGAAAATGAATCTGATCTAACAAGAAATAGAGATTAAATAGCCTGCTAGGCGATCAGTGTGCCTGTGTTGGCCTTAAAAAAACTAATTTTATAGTAACACTTCTTGGGGGAATAGTATTGCCGGATAGAAAACACAAATTTCAGTATAAGTGGTGTATAAGAGGTCTGAAGATACCAAATACCAATTAAAAACTAATAAAGAGGAATAGTAGCAAAACTCTATTTTAAATGACTGCCTTCTGAAGGAGTTCGTGTAGCACACTAGAGATTCATATTCCAAATTGTTATTTTATTTTTAGTAGCATTGACATTATTTATAAACAATTTTACTAGAAATCTCTCTGAACTTTTAGCTGAACTTTAAAAAATTAGTTATGGTAAAATAAGTAAATTAAAACAAATGAGAACAAAACTTGTTTTCTAGCCCTGACTGGTTTGGCTCAGTGGATAAGGTCCCAAGTTCGATTTTGGTCAAGGGCATGTACCTTGATTGCGGGCACATCCCCAGTAGGGGGTGTGCAGGAGGCAGCTGATCGATGTTTCTCTCTCATTGATGATTCTGACTCTATCCCTCTCCCTTCCTCTCTGTAAAAAATCAATAAAATATATATTAAAAAACAAAAACAAAAAAACTAACTTGTTTTCTAAACTCACCAAACTCACCAGCAAGAACCTATCTGCTTCTCAGGTTGTGTTTTTGACCCCCCTCTCTCATCCCCACAGCACCCATCCAGCAGATGTGAATTCAAATCCTAGCTCAATGGTTTAAATTCTGTACACTCAAAAATAAAATCCCCCTCTCTGAGCCTCGAGTTCCCCATCCGGCTGTAGGAGTAACACCATCACAGGGATCTTGTGGAGGATTAAAAGAGATAATGACATGGGAGAAAGGGCTCCCTCAGCAGAGCCTGGGACAGAGGGGCTGGGCTTTCCACCGAGACTGTTCCTTCTTAAGCTCCCTTCCTACTACTGATCTTCTCCTACAACTTACCTGGTCACCAAGCTCTGTGGGCATTTCCTCTTTAATATCGTTCCTTTCTCTTGGACCCTGCTGACACCCTGAGTTCAGATCTTCCTCCATCCTCGTCAGGATTCTGCGTTAACTAACCTCTATTCTCTGTCTTCAGCCTTGACTCCCTCTGACCCAGCCTTCCTGCCTCTAAGATGATTTTTCTAAAGTATAAAACTGCCTGAGTTTGAATTCCAGCTCTTCTACCTAATATCTATATGCTGTGTAAGAAGTGATGTGAGTTCTCCATTGCTATCACTCAAAGTCTATAAAATAGGAATAATAATTTTCCTGCCTCAGAAGATTTTTAAAGAATAAATAAGGTCATGTATGTGCTAATCCATAGAATCACACAGTAAATTAGAGCTGTTATTCTTCTCTTCCTTGTTCTCGCTGGCCTTGTGACCCATGTGTGACTTACCATGCCTATTAAATAGGGTGGAGTAGTAATCATGATGTTTAAGATCTTTGTAGGTCTCTGCCTAACTCCCTACCAAGTCTCATCACTCATCAAGGAGTCTGTTATGATATAGAATCACTAACTTGCACTCAACCCAGAATAAAAAGAATCAGGTTAGGAAAGAATTCAGAAGAGCAATGAGACCATTTTCAGAAATGCTGATAAAATTCTTCCTATGAAAGCTGTTGTCCTAAGAAGTGACTAAGCATCCCAACTGAATACGCTCTGAAAGCAGTCCGCAGCTACATCCTAAATATCCTTCCACTTTTCTTTCTTCCAGTTCTAATTTAAATTCAATAATGCATTTAAACTAGCAGCCGTCCCACTTATAAATTTGAACTTTAAGAAATGTGTGTCATGGGTGTCCACATAGATGAGTTTTCTACAACACGGTCTGTAAGAAGATTCAGAGACTTACCTGACAGTCTTCTGAACCACTTGGGCTTCTTGTCCCAGATAATAAAGAGATAGTATGCGGGGACTCCAGTCATGGTGAGGATGAAGCCAATCCCCGTACTAAAGGGGTCTGAATAAAGGGAGAGGGCGACCATGAAGAAGCACGTGAAGGAAAACAAGGCCGGGATAAACAGCGGCACCTGGAACACAGCACAGAAAAAGGAAAAAAAATCACTTCAAAATCACTTCTAACACATTGCAAGAAATGGACAGTGGTTCAAGGTGAGCCCATCAGTCATGACATTGGATGACATACATGACCAGGTGACAGGCACCATCCTACCTTACCTTAGTTGCAAAGTATTTTTATTTTTTTAAACATATTTTTACTGATTTCAGAGAGGAAGGGAGAAGGAGAGTTAGATAGAAACATCAATGATGAGAGAGAATCATTGATTGGTTACCTCCTGCATGGCTCTACTGGAGATTGAGCCCGCCACCCAAGCATGGGCTCTGACTGGGAACAGAACCATGACCTCCTGGTTCATAGGTCAATGCTCAACAACTGAGCCATGCTAGCTGGGCAGTAGTGAAGTCTCTTTAAAGGACACTTAAAATATATTAATACTAAAGGCCCGATGCACGAAATTCTTACAAGGGGCTCGGCCCTCGCAGCTCTGGCTTAGTCCGGAAGGTCGTCTGGAAGGACATCTGGAAGGTCGTTTGGTTGTCCAGTATAATTAGCCTATTACACTTTTATTATTATAGATATTCCATTAATTAAAAAAAATGTTTTGGATAGAAAAAAACCTCTAAGAATAAATAAGTGTGTTTCACTATAAAAGTCCTGATTTATTTTACTAGGTAAGTACTACTATAATTTCTGTTTTGGGTATTAAAAGATGAGCTCTTTGATAATTATGATTAGAGTCCACTTTAATGTGGAGCTAAGACCATGGGCTGCTAGTCACATCTTAAATCTTTTCAGGGAAAATTGATTTTCTGTTGGAGATTCACAGTAAGAGAGGACAGGAACAAAACAGGCCAGCTCCTATTGGGCCACTAATGAAGATGTTGCCTGGATTAGGCAATGAATATAATTAGAAACAAATTCTGACAACGTAACTGACAACCTGGTCTGTTATTTCTTCAAAGCGAATGAACAATGAGGCCAAATCAATCTATAAGCATTGGAGGCTGCAGGAGACGGGCGGGTGAGAAGGGTATTCTTCAACCCTCCCCAAAGGAATGCTTAGTTATGGTAACTGTGCTTTCGATTAAGTGGTAAGTTCATACACCTTCGCTTTCCCTCTATATTTTATACTTTTATTCCTTCTGGGGTGTATAATGTACAAAAAGAGCAATGTAATACGTCATAACCTTTAAAAATACTGCGAATGCCTATTTTGTACAGCAGCATCCACTTTAGAGTTTAAAGAGTGACACCATTCCATGCTTATCGGCATCACTCTTTCTCAGTCTGGCTGTCCACAAATGTTCAGCGTAAAGATAGATCAGAGTATCCCACACTTTGCATGTATCAGGTCATTGGACACGTCATGAAAAATCAGCATAACAAACATCCTCTATTAACACCACCTTTTCTTAAAGAGCTCAGTACAGCACATAAAACAATGTGATGAATTATTTCTCAGGGAAAGTTAGTCCAATCTGAAGGCACTACTGGCAAGAGTTAAACACCTGATGGCGGAGGATTGCCCTCCTCCTCCCCCCCACCCCCCCCCCCCCCCGCGCCCACCCATGCTTCCCATCATCAAGCTACGACAAGGGAGGACTAGGTATTAGGAGAAAGATTTATGTAAACCCATCAAGATTGCTGAGGTTACCTTGAAAGGACGATGCATATCTGGGCGTTTGTATCGAAGATAAATCAGCCCAGCAACTGCGAGCCCAATAAAAAGCCACCTGGCAAAACTGAGGAAATTCAAAAGACTGTAGAGGTCCCCAGAGAACAGCATCACCATCGTCAGAGGATACTGGGGGGAGGAGGACAAAAACCACTCGGTGAGTTAAAGGGAACACAGGCGATCTCAAAGCATCACATACCTAGACATCATTATTAGCCCTTCCAAATGATCACTTATACTGATAAACTACCGTGTTGATTAGAACCTAATCTCCCTTCTATAGTCTGCTCTTAAAACCCTTTTCTATACCAGTAACAGAATGAGAGGGCCATCATCACTACCAGTTACTGAGAAGGGATTTTATACGGATGTTTGTTGTTTAGTTGCTTTTACATTGGACAGAAGAGAGTATGTTTTTAAAGTTACAGTCAGAGACTGAAAATGTAAGGACCCACGGATGACTAATAAATAATGAATAATGGGCATCACAAGTGTCCCCTCTTGGAAAGTCTGCAGAAAACTCTGCAGTGGGGTCTGCATCACTCTTGGCCACGCAAACATGAAACACGGTCCACTCCTAAGTGCCTCCGCCAGGCCCTGAATGCAAAATGTTGACCTCTCCTTCCTCCACGCTCCCTCTCCCTGTATGCTTGCCACGGTTGACCCTCAGGACCGCACAAAGGAAGGCGGCTTAGAGACCAGCACAACGAGCCCCTGCCGTGCCGCGCCAAGGACAGCATGACTGGTAGCAGAGGCTTGAAACGAAGCCCTCTTCACGGAATAATACATTCCGTTCCCACAAGTGACCGCTGCCTTCTGCATTCCTCACAAAGGGACCTGTGTACTTTACAAAGAAATTTCAAGGAAACATTTTGAAATAAATTAAATGCATATGGAGGAGGAAAAAAATGTTCCATGAATTCTAGCAGCAGATTGCATTTGAGAAAATTGCTACAAAATGGTAGGCATAAAGGGACCATAACATTGCCAGTGGGTGTTTGAGGACTGTGACACCTTACACAGTCTTTTGTATCCCATGTTTCACAGGTACCATTCTGGGCGTAAAGAATCCTACGACTGAAATTTAAGTTTTGGTGCTTTTATTTCTTCCCTTTAGGGTGGCTCTCAAGTGTCTCACTTTTAATCTCAGAATTACTGCCCTGTCTAGAATTTCATCGTTGCATTTTCTATAATTTTGTGTGCATTTCATTATAAGGGGCCTGTGCAACATCTGGGTCATTTAGGACTGTAGTTTTTGGCTCCACTCTCTGTACTTAGAATTGGGATTTATTCCTCTGCATCTTTTTCTACCAGGTCCTTTGTCAATGGTAGGAGCCAAACTAATTTCCCTTACACCTCACTACTTTCTACAAAGGTGAAAAAAAAAAAAAAAAAAAAGGGAGGTGGCCATTGCCCCGTAGCATCAAATATGCATCAAAATCCTGGGTCAAGGGAAGCAGCGGAAAACATCCTGCCTCCCACAGGCTGCCAGGATATACATAGAGCCCTTTTTTCAATGAATGAAAGAAGAAAGCACGCTGCTGTCTGGTGTGAAATCCTCTTTGCTAACCTGCTATTAGAGGTTATATCGAGAGATGCTTGTTAATGTGCATTACCAAAACAATCACAGCTGGCAGAGGAGTGTGCTTGCGGACATGAATCATGGACAGGATTTCTGGAAGGTGACCCTCTCGAGACGCCACATAGAATAACCTGATGGGAGAGAAACCGGGGACGGAGTTGACTATACAATTAATTGATCATTGCAGAGGGGAAATATCCCAGAACCCTAAGAGAAAACTTGCATCTTTTTCACCCCAAGTGGTTTGGACATTTCTTAGATGATTTACTTAGATTTCACTTTTCAGATAAGGTGGAGACCATCATGAGAAGTCTGTCTTAGAATTTTATAAAATCTGACGACTATTGTATTCTTCTTTGAGAGGGAACAATAGCAACACCTGACTCAGCGTGGCTCTCCCTACATACAAACAGCTGAAAATGAATTTAGTTCTAGGTTCCCAGTACTGTAGGTGTGCTGTCTATCCAACCAAAACAAAACACACACACACACACACACTCTCTCTCTCTCTCTCTCTCTCTGCATGCACATGTACACACACACACACCGTGAACATGAATAAAGGAAATCTCATTTAAAATAGAGTTGGGAGGGCTTGAAAGGGTGATCAACAGGAAGAAGCCTTCTTCACTACTCCCACAGGAAAAAAGACATTATCTCCTGGCCAGCAATAACGCAGCTGGAGGGAAGCCACAGCAACCCTGAAATCCCACCCTCTTCCAATGGCCTTTCAATCAGAACTCCACTCCCAACTCCACTTCCCTTCCTCTGCAAAAGCAAGCCCCTCTCCTTTGTTCTCAGGACTCGCCTGTGGTTTTGCCATAGCTTGCGCGTTCTGAATTGTGATTCCTCTGCACTTTCTGAATAATCTCACTTTTCTGGTAAACAACTGGTTATTTCATTTTTAAGGGTGACAACACATCTAACATTCATATTTATCTGATTGGGTTTTAATCTTATATTAAAACAAAAGGTACTTTTACATCCAAGAAAGCAATAGGGATAGAGATAGGGTGAAGTGGTGATTTCTGGTGCCTCTGACGTTACTTTTTTTCTTGTCACCTTTAGAGAAACAACAGATTTTATCACCAGAAATAAAATGCTGCTGTTAGACTCCGTAGACAGACTATTAAAAAAATGCCACAAGCCCAGCTTCGGACTCGGCTATGTGTAGAGACGCAGTGCCCTCTAATGGTCAGAAGGAGACATGCTGTTGCTACTTGGACAAAGACTTTAATCCTGCAGGTCCCTTTAAAAACAACAGGTTAGGAGGCACTGTTTCTTTTTGAAGTAATCCTTATCACATCCAATCTCAAAAACAGAAATACATTTCTGAAAATGCTTGAACTCACTCACCTGGAGACGGCAAATACACCCCCATTCATGGAGCCAAAGCAGGTGAGGGCAACGAAGATGGGAACTGCTAATGAGAAATTTCCCAGGAGCCGCTCAGCAAAGGTCTAGTGAAAGACAGAATGTCAGAAACTAGTGCTTTGCCAGAAAGTGGCATAAAATGAAACAACGTATGTCAGACTCGCTCTATGACTTTCTATTAGCCTAGTGATAATGTGTATGCTTTATAATCCTTCTCTTTGGTAAGGGTCAGACTAACTCCATAGACAATAATCAAAATTAGGTGCCATGGCATTCCTTGTTGTAAAAATGTGGGCAAAGGTCTAAACAAGCACCTATTCTTTACTTTCAAAAGGCAACGATCCTTTACCGAATCTTTATAAACTGTGGCCAAAATCTTCTATCATTCTGGTCAGTGGAAAAAGCTTTTTCAGAAAAATTTCTGCTTTAGGAGATAGAAATCCTTTTGCACAATACCTTCTCTTTGCCCAGAAAGCCACATTTTGATAGTGAAGCACAAATGTATACTGAGAAGAATGATGGACACTAGTCTCATATACCAATCCCACCGTCATCATGTAAAACCATGGCAAAAAATAAATAAATAAATAAATAAATAAATAAATAAATCAAATAATTGATGTCTTAGTCACTGGTATCCTATCTATGAGATGTTCTGAAAATCTTTTGCCCAGAATAATCACACCAGCTGAATCTGTGTTCATCAAATCAATTATCAGGTGATTCCCTCTGTTTCCCATGAAAAGGCTAGACTACAAATACAAGACCAAGGAAATAAAGCCTCAGGAAAGACAACAGATAAACAAAATTTCCGAAATTTCCTTTTATGCCATGACATAAAGGCTGTATTGAAAAAAAAAAAAAAAGTGGGATTTTTTTACTTGTCCTCGATGCAGCTGGTGCTGTGTAATTAATGGGCCACATTACGTTCGAGGAATAAGTGCTGCCCTCTGTCCAATGAGATGAGATAAGTGGCCGGGCAGCAGTAAGCTTTGTGCATTTGGGTGTCTGCTAGAACTTACGGCATTGGCTGAAGCCTTCTTTAAATATAGAGAACACATACCTAGGTGCATGTGAAATGAGGTCATTTGTTCCCATGGATGTTGCTGATATGAGGTAATATGACTATTTTAAAAGGAACTGACAGCTAACAGTTGGAAATTATTCCCCCTCCTCCCTCTCCATTGTTATGAGGTCATGAGTGAAGGTTCTCTTACTAGCTATGGTTTTATACAAAATAAAAATAGGTGTCACAGAATAACAGTCCCATAACATGACCTTTTGGAGCAAAGACAGTCCTGATGTCTCATAAATTTTGGAAAATGTAAAATTATGAGTATCCACTTCTTAGGGAATTAAAATGCACATTAGCATTTTATTATTCTGAGAAGTGCTACAGAAATGATATCTGTGTAACTTTGAATAACTCATTATTCCCCCAAATTAATAATATCCCATGACTAGTATTCAAAAGAACATAAGAGAAAAAAACAAATATATACGGTCAAGTTTGAAATTCTTAAAATGGTACTTTGGGAAAAATGTTTGAAGATGTTTACAATTGGGAAAGAGTACAGAATAATTGCAATTTGCATTCCCCAAACTGCATTCTTTTAAATTCTGCCTACTTGTCCTTAAAGACATGTTAGAAGGCTATGTATCTGTGGAAATGTGTTTTCAAGCATCTATATATGTAGAAATGTCTTACATGATATTAACACTACAGAGAAATCATATAGGATTTTAGCTGTATCAGTTAAATGGAATATGCTAAGGTGTGTTCTAATTTTTTTAAGATGCTCATTATCATTCAGGTCAAGAAAAGATTACTGAATTTCAAAACCCTTTTCTGCTGGAAGAAACTAGTATAAAATTGCATCAACTCATTAACCTAAATTCAAATTGGCATTTCCCCAACTTGGACTTACCACTGCCACTGCATTTGAAAGCAAGAGCTCTTCAGCACTAATGGTGGTAAAGTAGGCCACATTCGTTAGCACATAGCCGATGGTGACGATGGCCATGGATATACCTATGGCCAGGGGGATGTTTCTGAAATGCACAAAGGAATTGCTTATTAGTTACCTTTTTTTTTTTCCCTCTAAAATCAAGGACGATAGGCTAATTCCAACAAACAATTAAATGGTATGTATGATAATTATAGGCTCCGTTGGGTATGCATAAACATTTCACTGGAGTGAGGTACCACACATTCCTTTGTAATGTAATAAGGTTCATGAGGCAGATGCAGAGATTTCTGTAGTCTTGTCTCCTGTTCTACCCCATTCCTGTACTCCATGAATGCTAAGGCAGTGTTTCTTTAACTTGAGCATGCATTCCTGGAAGGCTTGTGAAAACACAGATTGCTCCGCTCCAGAATGTCTGATTCTGTAGGTTTTGTATTTCTCACAAATTCCTGGGTAGTTCTGATACTGCTGGCCAGGGGACCACACTTTGAGAACCATTGTCTGCTACACCTTTCAAACACTAATTGACTACCTTTGCATCTTTCTGAGACTAGCTCCCTGAAATGGTCTTTCACATTCGTGGGATTTTCCCCTTCAGGAACTTCCTTTACCAGCAAATAATACTTCCAAAATATTTTTGTAAGACTGAGAGCAGGATATAGCCACCTTTCTAAATGATAGGAGTAATAATTTCACATGGGGCACAAAAAGCACAGAAGCGCTCACAATAGCGACTTTGCATGGCCCTGCTGCAAGTTCAAAGGAAGCTTAAGATCATGAATGTCTATTAAAGCAACAGCGAAGATAATCCCATGAAATTAGAGGCGACGTGCTGGGAAGCACAGAGGGCCAGACAGTGCTGACAGGACACAGCATCGAGAAATACCCAGCGCAGATGCAAGGTTATGTCTTCATTTAATGCACTTGGAAAGCCAGGAAGTTACTGACCCCAATAATTTGATTCCATGTTACCGATACACATTACTTGCTTCACATAATCACCTCTTCAGACTCTTTCCCGTTCAAGCAACTTAAACCTTCAGCTCCCTGCATAACAGCTGATGGGATGTTCTGTGTTTTTGTGTGTGTGTGTGTGTTTTTTTTGTTTTGTTTTTTTTTGGCCGTGGAACTTATCAGCTCTCATGGAGCCTTAACCCTGCTGGTGTCACTAATGAAGACCTCAATATAAATAATGTTCTCCAAGATGAAAATACAGTTCAGAACCAGGGGAGAAAAAAAGGGGGGACGGCGGGGGAGGCACAGCCTGTCTCACTCACCAAGCCAGGCGGCTTTTAGCACACTAAGTCCCAGCTCATTATGTTAAAGAGTGCTGTAGAGAACAGGCAAGCCTAGTCAGTCAGCTTCTGCCATTCATTAAGCCTGACACTCCCCTGATCCCCAACGTCTTAAGCCTTGATGGAGAAACACATTGACCTCTAAATCCTGGCATCCTGTTAGGAAAGGAGCAGATGCTTCCTTTCCCCAGTGCGGGGAGGGTCCTGTGGAATTTCCTCGGAACACCTTAACATGCAGTGCCAGTTGTGATTGATAAATGCTCAGTTTAAGCAACGGAAATCAGCAGGCCAATTAGATACAAAAGAGTGAATGGCACCACGCCAATTAAAGATGAGTTCTGTTTCTTTGAAGGAAAGGTTACATGGAAATGCAAAGGGAAATGAAGAGGAACATGGAGGTCTATAGACAACCTTTCAGTCACTCATTGTATTATTATAAACTTGAATCTTTTCAGCTTTCTAATGTGCCCAAAGGGGATGCTAAGTTCTTTCCATGGAGGAGAGAAACAGAAAGAAGGGAAGAGAGCCTTTGTATTCCTTGCAAGAATAATATTAAGAAATGAAATGAAATTAAGAAATGGTCAAGCAATGAAAAGGTTCTGGTAATAAAGTGAAGTGACCTAACCTGCCCAGGACAGGGAGTCCTGTCTCATCACATGATGCTACAAACCAGTAAAGAGAAGTAAGTCTCACATTTGGGCTGTGGGCTCCCAGCATGGAAGCCAGAATGCCAGCTTCCCCCTCTGTTTCCTGCCTGGAGATTATGGTGCTTCTGAGGAAAGTTTTCTAAATTGATCTTAACAGAAGGGATCCTAAAACAACCAACCAAACAAACAAAACAAAACAAAAAATACCTAACCTTCCAGGTTAGTTTTCTCCCCCATCAGCTTGTCAACAACAAAAAACACCACCAGCAGCTGCTGCCATTTATGTGGTGTCTGCTATGTGCCTGACATTTTATTAGGCACATTACATGTTTGCCTCATTTTATCCTTGGAAAATCCTGCAGGTTGGAAGCATCATCACCGTTTTATATATGAGGAAATGGAGTCTTAGAAAATTTAAATAACTGTTCAAGGATACACAGCTGGTAAGTGGAAATACAGAGTTCAGCCACAAGGTCTCGCCTACCTTGAAGTCAAAGCACTTTAACCACTAATGTGTACGCACCATCTCCTGTGTATGGGTCCTCAAACACTGACTATTGATTTTCAGGGAAATCATAATTGCTGAATATAATGTTTACTGGAGAGCTCTTTTCAAGGCTGTGTTTCTCATGCAGTCACTGGGAATGCAGCTATCATAGATGAGGGGAAAATACTTATTCCACAATTTCTACAGTTTTCCTGTGTAACATGAACTATAAGGTATAGTTTTGCTGTGTAGGTAGTAGGTTTTCTTTTTAAAATCAAAAAGACAACAGAGGCTAACTGAATTAATTTTGTAGACACGAAGGAAAAGTAATAAGCATGGCTGTCAGGTAAAATTAACTAGATTAACAAGTTTACTATCAGCTAAATAGACTAGATAGAGATATCAGGGGGAGGAGGAATCAAAGGAGTCTAAAGTATATGACGAGAGCGATGGCATCACCTTGCTGCAATTCCTCACACACCTAGTAATTCCTCTCCAGGTAACATCAAGCCCCAGGAATTGGAAGGGTTGTGACAAAATAGCCACTCTCTTCTGCCCTGAAGTCCTATTTCACTTGGACAAAGGGAAGGAGGAGAGGGGATCATGGCCGCCTTGAGAGAAATAGCAATCGGTTGGGAGGAAATCAGTTGATTTGTTCAGAAGGGCTCGGCACCGGTGGTTAACTCCTGGGTTTCAGGCGTCAAAGCTTAAGAGCTGCTGGGTGAGCTGATAAAAGCTACTAGGCCATGCCAGAGCATCTTTCGAAAGGCTTTAGATGCAGAGGGCAGATAGGCATAGCTAGTAACCCAAGATTAAAGCAAATGGTACATGATAATAAAAGGAGTTGCAGGAACTGCTAGGCCACTGATGTTGCACAGACTCTGTGTGACTCTGAGGCAGCCGCTAATGCCAAGGGCAACAAAACCTTTGTCTTGACACTGAATAAAAATGACGCACACTTATGAGGTCTACTCTTTCTCAAATATTTGTGAGTGTCTGTTATGATTAACAAAATAGAAATGTATTAAGAGTCACTTAATCCCTAAGAGCTTTTTGTCATCATATATAGTCTTTTCAAGTAACAGGCATTAAGTATGTGAGAATATGGTACTTTTCATATTAGTTGCAAATGGTCTTCAATCAAAAGGTCTTGAAATACCCTTCTCATAGGTTTATTTTGAATTGGTACCAATAACCAGTCTGTGTCAATAAATATCTATGGGTAAATACTTGTTTAATTTGAAATGATTACATGAAAGTCTGGAACAGCTGCCTTGAAGCACTTTCATTCTAAGAATCCAAATGGTCCCAGTAGTAAAAGCTCATAGTTTATATTTGTATAATCCATAAAGCACTAGTAAATATATTTGATCTTCAAATCTACATGTCATTTCTTTTTTTTTTTCTCTTTTTCTTTCTTCCTTCCTTTTTTTTTTTTTTTTTTTTGTGGAATGAGCTAGAGTCTGAACAATTAATAAACAAAATTCACAACAAACCATCGAAATAGGAGGTAATACTCCTATTTTCAAACAAGCGAGCCAAGGCTAGGAGGGATTAAGTGACATGGTCAAGGTAATAAAAACAGTCAATGGAAGGGCTGGAACTTAAACCTAGCTCTTCTAGCTCGAAGTTCCAAATCCATGATATATCTTATCATATCATGGCTGCATTGTACCTACTTTAACTCATGTTGACTAACAGATATTTTATATAAGTGACATAAATTGATATTGATTGTTACAATGTGACAAATTTTAAGCCAAAAATATTTTTTTTTCTACATAGCCAAGAGTCATCATAAATAAACATGCAGCATGGGTTGCATTTTTCATATGCTTTATAACTATAATAGATCCAGAAATAACCATTGTTCCCAGGGCTTCATATTGGCTAGAAAGACTTGCTATGGAAGCAGAATGAGTAAACATAGTGTGGTTCTCCAGAGAGATGAGCACATTAAAGGTTACAGGGCTATCTGATGTGCACACCATATGAGTAATTCCATAATTACTTGAACTTAGGACACTACTAAAATTGCTTTATAACCTGAACAAAATCTTTTGAGATTTGCATGAACCAAAATAAATTCCATATAATCCCCCATGTTAGACAAACACAATGGGAATCATAGAAGTCATGGAGCCTGGGGCATCTAAAATTGTCTTTGAGCCATGGGGCGGGGCATGGTGACAATTCTGTTAAAACCTACTCTAGGGTTTTTGAATATTCTGAAATCTTTAAAGACAAGTTGTTGATGCTTCAAATTTTCTATTTAAAATCATTAATATTTTAACACATGTATTTGTAATCAGGAAAAAGGACGGAGGAATCAAAGGAGGGATTCATAAAGACAAGAAAATGCCCAACTTTTTAATATGTGAGATAGAGGGGGAAAGAAAGAAAGGAAGAAAGAAAGAAAGAAAGAAAGAAAGAAAGAAAGAAAGAAAGAAAGAAAGAAAGGAAAACAGTGTTTTACAGGGTATTTTTTAATTTGGTTAGTAAACTAGAGAGTATTTGTTTAAATAATTGAAACATAACTGTGATTCATCTCAACATAAAGTATTTAAAATTACATTAAGTATCTTTTGATTACAAGTATTCATTTTAGAATCATACTTATTTCATATTTTCTTTATAATGACCCAAAAGAGACCTT